TTACATTTCTAAATTGCTAATTTTGAAGGTTACTAAAGTTATAACTTCCAGATTGCAGGCTAAAATGATCTAAACACAAAATTGGATTATTGTGATTTTTATGCGATACAGGTCTAAAGCAGGAAGCTGGACAGTCAAAGGAGAAAATATTTACGTGAAGTATAGCTCTCTTCCCAGGGAACTATTTTGTCGAGGCATAGAAAGAGGAATAGGACTAGTGGAACCATTCTCTCTTCCAAAAGTGTTGAACTTGTTCATGTCATCGTCATTGTTGACTTGCTTAACATTAACACCGCCATAGCTTTGTTGGACTTTATCACATGTATCAATCTGTGCATTGGCATCACTATGAATAAGAAACTAAGGCATGTAGTAGATTCACAAATAACAATATGGCAAACATATACAAAAAAGAACCTAAGGCATTCAGTAGAGTCACAAATAGCAGTATGGCAAACAAATATAACAAATCTTTGCAGAAAGAGCCTCATCTATACTGTACATCTTACCTTGCTTAATAATGTTTTATGATTATTTAGAGCATTAAAGCCCAAATGAGAACCGAAAGAAATGGATTAAAATATCATAACATTTCAGTGTCAATACATGGGCTGTGTGATTGAAATACAAAGACAAATTAAAAAGAAAAAAAATTGTGTGGATGCTAAAACATCCTAGAGGGAGGTTTAAGCAAGCACATCTATACCCTTCTTTTGGAAGTTAAGGGTGTGGAGCCACACTTCCTATTTGAGATGATTCGGACCATTTGAGGTGACAGAAACTAGCGTTCTCAAAAGAAACTACAGTTTTAATTGAAAAGGAAAAAAAACACCAGCATTAACTGGAAATTATTTCCAGCCCATATATATGTGGGTAAGTGAATATGTATATGTAGTATGATAGCATATAAGTATCTATACATACAAATTTAAGTGTATATGTAGAGTCATAGATAAGCAACAAGTGATAAATAGGAAAAGAGAATGTAAAACCTTGCACTGTCTTCGATGATCTTTCATTCGAGGATATATGTACCCATAATATATGGTCTGTGTAGTCAGAATCAGTGTTGTGATCGTATACAACTGTACACCAGCATGATAGTGATTTCCACCAATATCAAAAGAAAAAAAATACTTGGACAGTTTAAAAAAATTATTTCAAAACCTTAAAACCATACCAATGCCATGTAATATTGAGTTGGAAGCTGCATAAACAACCAGAGAAGGTTAAAAAAAAGTAAACATGTAGGATCTTGACAAGATAAATATCTCAAAATTTTTATTTAAAGAAAAACATGAAAAAGCCATCATGAATTGATCCTTATTCACAGCTTCAGATAGATAGTAAAACTTGTATAAGCTCAAGTGACACGATTTCATTGAGTTATGCAAACATGCCAAGCGATATGACTATGACTTGATAACCATGAGAAATGCCGTTATTTGGATGGGGCTTTATTTGCTTAGATAAACAATTACAGATATAATCATTGTGGATTTATCTTGTTGGAATATGCAAATGAAAAGAAAGGCATTAAATTGTTTAGATTTTAGAGCACTTACTGTTGCTGGTTCGAGTATGCAGCCAAAGACATTGAAAAGATCTCTGCAAAAAAAATTGCAAATAATCTAAAATTCCACTGGAAAACAGTTACGAATGAATTATTATTGTAAAGATGACTAAACTCTTTCCTGTATCTTGGCAGCTTTGAATGTAAAAATAAATGAGGCGTGTAGATATGTAATACTCAATCAATCCAAGAGAAAACTATTTAAAGCACATATCATGGTGATTGACCATTTATGAATCAATCACCATAAATTGATCCATGATCTTGCTAATATTTGTATCTTTCCTGTATCTTGCTAATATTTGTACCACAATCGAAGCAATCCAAAAAAATATTTTCCGTACGGATGCATTCACATAACTAAATAATGTGAATAAATAAACTATAGAAAGAGTTCTACCAAATTCTAGACCATAACCCTGCAGGGAGATAAAATATCGATTAGCAAGGTCAAAGAACCCTTTCTATACCCCACCACTCCTTTCTGGGTGCAGGGCAGAAGAGGATTCTATTGGCTAAGGGTGGTTAGGGTGCCATGAACATGTGCGAAAGTCCAAAGTTTTGGGTTCAAACTCCAAATTGGAAAATTTAATAACTTACACACTCCTTGTCTCCTGAAGTTGGCCTAGAGTATGCAAAGCCTCCCCAAAACTAGTAGAGATGGGCCACAAGCATAATACAAGGAGCAGAGTCCATGAAACTCCAGTGATCAAAAAGAAGAAAGAAGGGTAACAAATGATTTTCAACACCATCAAAGGTAGCAAGAATTACAAAAAACAGTGTTATAAATCATTAGAGGAGTACAGAAAATATAACTAGTAGTTGGTAACGCCAACCACGCCAAAATCAAACAAGATTTCACTGAAAAATGCCCTAAGATAACTTTTGTTATTCAAACTGGAAGTCCTCAGAAATACTATCAATTCATTTGAATAAAGTTAGATTTCTAAAATGTTAAAATCCCAAAGAAAGCAAGCCAAGGACGAAAAAAGGGAAATACCCCAGTATCCATGTTAGCAAGAAAGCCAAAGACAGGCCCTCGGAAGATTTTTCCCTGCAATTTGTAATGATTTGGGGTATCTCCGCTATACCCCAACTAATAACACTAATCAATCCCAGAGTGAGAGAAACTCCATCTTTCGTACTGCAGAAGCAGTATTTCATATTCTTCTTTACCCATTCCGAACAGTGCTGGTTGTTGGGGCAAATGGGATTTGAGCTTTGAAATAGCCCCATTTGCTTCCAACCAGTATGACTTCAATCTTCAATCTGAGTAGAACAGAGTTAGCGAGGGAGTGAGAGAATATAATCATTACAATAACTGAAGGAGGAAAAATGAAGAAATACACAGAGAAACTCGGTTTTTTTTTTTTTTTTTTTTTTTTTATCATTCTAAATATTTACAAGCGCTGATTTGCTAAGAGACTTCTGAGTTCTTATTGCTAAGATTTCCCCACTCGTTTCCCTGTCTACTTCATATAAAAAGAAATCCAAAACAGAAAATCATCCAAAGAAACAGAGTGTCGCCAAAAATATGAACTACCGCAACTTTTCTAAGATTAAAACCTTCCCCGCCTTCATGCGATGAGATCAGAAAAACGGGCAAAGATGAACGAAAACAAAAAGCAGATGGAAACACCTTCAAACACACACACACACACACACACATATATATAATCCTGAACTCATTCAACGTCTTCAGACTCCAAACGAAACAAAAGATATACGCCAAAGTAAACTACAATCGTGGCAAAACATGGTTCTTTCCCTTTCTTCAATGCCGAGAAGAAAGAAAGAAAGAAAAAAGAAAAAGACATCGAAACAGGACGATGAAAAAGAAAAGCGCTAACCGAGGAAGAAAGATGAGGAGTAGAAAGCGAACGAACTCTGGAGTTCAAAATAAACACAGATACTTGATTTCCCGTGGAGCTTCTCGTGACGAAAACTTCCTAATCAATACTATTATTAGACGAATCCCAAAAAAGTCACTCTCTCTCTCTCAAAATGCAAAGCTCTGCAATGACAAGTGGTTGGTGCGTTCATCCGGCATTTCATATATGACATATATATATGTACACACACAAACACACAATTTCGGGCATGGCCGTTGGTGACAGATACAATACAGAGAAAATTGATTTCATACCAAATGCTCCTAAATATGGCGCCACTTGTCTCGATTCATATTTATTGTATTATAAGGATCTTTTGATCTATTTAAAATAATATTTAAATAAAGTTGTTCTAAAAAATGTACAAGTTCAGTTCACAGAATATTAATAATTATGTGAAATATTGTATGCGTAGAATACAAGAAATGACACGAAGGAGATAAAATTGGAAATCGAAGTATTGCTTATTCTCTTTATGTTGGGTCTTAGAACACATGTGACCTGCGGAAATGTGACCTGTGTTTTCGCTGTGGCTTTGGTAGCAAGAGTCGTACTCGGAGCTAGTGCATACTATTTAAGAATTGCTCCATGGATCTCATGTCATTGAGGGACCAGCCTCATAAAATATATTGTGATAGGTAGATGTTACATATGAATATACTGTGAATAATGAATCAATATCGTCACCACTACAACATCTACGCTTGAATAATGAGTTCCCATGTTTTATGGAAGGTCTTAAACATGTATCGAGAAGAAAAGAAAGAAATGTATACGTTTATAGGAGATATTATAAACGTTTTTATTGCAATTTTTATTATGGAAGGTTATTAAAAAAAAAGAAAAAAAAAAGATGTATATTTAGTAAACTACATAGAATGGTATGTGTATATGGCTATATATTATATGAATTCAGAGTTTAAAAAAATTTAAAAGGAGAATAAATCAAATTATGGTGCAAGGGGGCCTCAAGGTCTATCAAAATACTGGACATTTCCATTTGTATTAAAGTTTAAAATTTAAATCAGTTTAGAATTATTATAAAAAAGTTCTCCACCAAAACTTAAACGACTTTCAGCAATAAAAGCACATGTTAACAACGTGTGTGCAGGAGAAAAAGACAATAGACCACCTTGGCAAAGAACTAGATCTAATTCTATATACTTTTGAAATAATATAAATACTAAGATCTTAATCTTGTATATAGTTGTAAATAATATCATATATGCATTTTAAATATATATATATATATATATATATATATATTGAATCTATTATTGGCGAAAGCAACAGACTTACAATCCACAAGCAATAAATTCTCCCTCATCGGTACATTAAAGAAAACTTGAAAATAGGAATTACTTTGCTTTAGGTTTTAGCCCTCTTTCGAAATAATACATCAACCATAATAAATTATGAAGATTAAAGACCAACATCAAACAAACAGTATATTTAATATCAATTTACCAAACATTGCAACTCATGTTTATATGTTCAATTATTTAAAAAAAAAAAAAACACACACACACACACACACACACTTTTATCAATCGCTAGGAGAACTGAATTTCTAATAATACTACAATGTTAAATAGACGAAAGAAGGGGGGAAATCTCATAATAAAAAAGAGGGAAATCCAGTAAGAACAAAAGAGGGAAAGAAAGAACTCGGTGCTAAGCGAGCAAATCTATTACAAGTTACCGGTATTTCGCGGTAGCTCCAGCAATTAGGGAACTATTTTTCTGGGTTAGAATCCATTGTTTGAGTTGTTGGCGGGGTAACAACAGCCAGACTCAAATCATGGGGACCGGATCCTCTAGCTCTTTCACGAATCTCTCTGTATTCTTGACAGATAGCGCAGAAATGGCAGAAAAAGTGGGTCACAAAGTCTCCACAAGGTGCTTCCTACATCACATTTCAGAGATTATTAGGTGTGGCTCATGGAAGCATAACAATCAACTCATTGACTAGAGAACTTGTAGTGAGCTGGGGTATATTATATGGAGGATAAAGGCATTAGATGTAACAATCCAAACCCCCCACCCATAGTAGATATTGTCTTCTTTGGGCTTTCCCTTCAAGGGCTTCCCCAAGGATTTAAAATGCAGGTTTTCACACCCTTAAAATAATGCTTCTGTAACAACCCAAACCCACCTCGGGCACATATTGTCCTTTGGGCTTTCCCTTCAAAGGCTTCTCCTCAAGGTTCTAAAACACATTTGTTAGAGGGAGGTTTCCATACCTTTACAAGGAATGCTTCGTTCTCCTCTCCAACCAATGAGGGATCTCACAATCCACCCTCTTGGGGACCCAGCGTCGCGTCCTTACTAGCACACTACTTGGTGTTTGGCTTTGATACTATTTATAACGGCTTTGATCGCTACGTGTACGAAAAGTCTGGGTCGTTACATTAGAACTAACTCCCATCTTGTGTCGAGACAAATGTAAAGAAAAAAGCCACTTAAAACTTCGAATTCTCTTGGCCATCAGGAGAAAAGATTAATGCATAACATCGTTTATAAATGCTATGTGCCATATATAATCTGTAAATAATTCATGCTTGCAAGACAATGAACAATGAAAAAGTAATAAGAGTACGATATAATACCGGCAAATTGTACTTAGACCGTAGGGCCTTGCGGTAACCACAAGCATAACATGCAAGAACGCATCCAGGTAGATTCAAGAAAAGTCCATCAGTCAACAAGCAGCAGACTGTATTCGTAAGTGCCCACAAAATGAAATGAGTTGCGCATGACCCAAACATTGTTCGAGAACCCAAAAGTTCAGCATTCTTCCCAAACAGAAAGCATGGACAAAAAAGGCCAATAAAACCTGCGCCAAGAAAAGTTGCAATGAGCTTCCCATTTAACATGCGAGATCATTTTAAATGCAATGCTCTTAGACTTGATAGTAATATTCAACCACCACCAAAAATATAAAAAGAGATTCGTTTAAAATCATCATATTATCTAAATTCTGTTTGGTATCTAACAACAAACTAAAGGTGCACAAGATCAAGTGTCCGAATCTTTATACACACTTGGATGATTGAAACTAGGGACTCTAATTGATACTACAACATGAACTTGTTAGAGAACTAATCAAAGTTCTTCACGCTCTATGCCCATCATTTAGGGCTGATCAAGTTTCCTATAATAAACCTAATCATAGTGAAAAATTCAGCGCTTCCTTGGATCTTAGAAAACTCAACAAATAAATGGCAGAGCAAGCTTTCACAACAGGATATGATGGGTTCCCTAATCGAAACAGCCATTGGCCTACAATTCAAATATTTATCAATTTGATATAAGAACACATGCAAAGCATTTCCTTTCTATACTCAAGATGCACCTTCATAACTTTTCCTTCGCATAAATCAAGGTCAGAAGGCAGAAAGTAGCGTACAGCTCTGCATATCATCGCAGCACGCACATATTCCAGACGACCATTGTGACAATCCATCCTTAAGTTCATTAGGTGTGGAATGGATGCCCTCGTCTCTGGAAATAATCTCCGCTTCTGAATCAGACTGCCCTAGAGGAACATATGCAGGAGGGACATAACTTATTCCGCCATCCATCTAGCTTTGATGCACAACAAAATCCCTCCCAATCTCTTTCAAACGAATCCAACCTGTGAGATTCATTAAGAATCATCAAAAATGCAATTCGTAAAACCTACATTTTACCCTCCCCTCACTAACACATGATTTTTACACTTCGATCTACTAATTCCTTTTGCACACTTCATCTGATCCGATGAATCCTCAATTAAAACCAGGATGTAAACCATAAAAGGAAAGAAAAATGGAGCTCAAATGATTCAAGGGCTCAACATGAAAACACCATTAGGTTTTGGAGTTCCTAAATCGAAGATGTTTGTTCGGTACGTGTAAAGAGTAAAAATAGAATAGCAGCGAATAACCCAAACGAGTATGAACCTGTGGATCAAAGCAGGAGATGAATGTCGTGTTTGATTGTCTTCTTCACCGGGAGGGCACGGCGGGAATGAATCGGAAGGAATGCGGATGCGATCTGGGGAGATCTTGGGATGTTCTTATATCGCCGGAGTCGGCAACATCTAATCCTTGTATTCGTAGCTAAATTGTAGCGCGCTGGAGAGAGAAATGGCGGTGGGTTTCGCTTTGTACTCCTTTTTCTATTTCTTTTTAACAAAACGCTTCCCACTCTTCTAATATATAAAATAATTACTTTGACATTTGTCCTTGAAATATTGTTAAAGTTACAAAATTACACGTAAAACCAAAAATAAATAAACATTTATGTTTATGTATGCATTATAACGTGTCTCCTCTCGTATTATTATTAATTTAGGCATGTAATTATCGGAACAGTAAGAAATATATCACTGACCCACATACGTATCACAGTAAGTTTAGGTATGTAGTTGCTCCCCCTCGTGTTTATGATATTCTTGTAGTATTATGTTGAGTACTAGAGGGTCGACAACTAACCTTCCAGTATGGATGGACATTCAAGACTCAACAAAATATTAAGCGACATGAGCTCACGGTCTTTTAAAAGGTAATTATAGTCCAACAAATGAGACTATTTCATGTATGTTTCTATATCCACACGTGCTACTATTTTCATTTTCAAATGAAATTCTAATATGCTTGACGCATGATAAAAACGTTTAAAGTGATAGATTAGAGTCGCACGATAAATGTCAAAATTGAAAATTTTGTAATGTAAACTTTTGCTCGTATTAAAAATTTTCGTGTGAAGTAATATACAAAACCAAAAATGTAGCCAAGATGTAGCAGGATATCTAACTTCAATGTGATCAATCCGATTGAAGGGCAAAGGACAGGCACATTCAAGTCAAGAACTTTCAGTGATGAGCCTGATGAAAGGTGAAAGCAATAAACGCCTTCTTATTGATCTTTGTTGGGTTCTTCTTCTCGATTGGTGTCGGTACTTTGGTGTCCATTTTCAGAACGCTCATTCAATGCCTCCTCTGAAACGAGCTCCCCAACCTTCACATACTTTTCCATGAACTTGTATTCCCAATCCTGCAAGATTACAAGCTCTTCTTCATTCAGGCCTTCGAGATTACCATTAATGTCTTCAGGTTTAAAAGACAAGAGAGCCAAGGCTCTGCTAGCATCCTTCCCGACGAACATGGAGTAAGGTGAACCAGGACCATAAAACGTCCTGAAAAGCCAACCAAAAACACAGTGTCATCCTATGCAATTACATCTTTCAATTTAGTCTTTGAACTCTTAAGAAGTTTCAATTTTGTCCAGAATTAGGTTACATAAACGTAAGCTTAGGAAACTCTTTTTGTATACTAAATCCTTTATAGTTCATTGATTTGAGCAATCCTGTAACAACCCAAGCTCACCGCTAGCAGATATTGTCCGCTTTCCCTTATGGGCTTCCCCTTAAGATTTTAAAACGTGTCCACTAGGGAGATGTTTCCACACCTTATAAGAATGCTTCGTTCCCCTCTCCAACCGACGTGGGATCTCACAATCCACCCCTTTGTGGCCCAACGTCCTCAATGACACACCACCCGATGTCTGCCTCTGATACCATTTGTAACAACCCAAGCCCACGCTAGTAGATATTGTCCTCTTTGAGCTTTCCCTTCTAGGCTTTCCCTCTAGGTTTTTAAACGCGTCCACTAGGAAGAGGTTTCCACACACTTATAAGGAATGTTTCGTTTCCCTCTCCAACCGATGTGAGATCTCACAAATCCAGCCATGTATTATGTAAATATGGAGAGGCTTTCCAACCCTAAAGCTTCCTAAACTCGACAATGAGTTTAATATTCCCCAACAGACTGGTTGACTGACAAAATTACTGTTATTAGCCGCTTTCACAGAGAGGAAACAAAAACTTCCCCTTCCCTTCTGCAACTTCAGTCCCCAGTCCCACACAGCCCAACTTTCATTCTTTACTCCCGACCACCCTTTTTCTCACACAAGGAAACCGAATGGAAGGCCTGACAATCCTCTCGCCAACACATTTTGTGCAAAAATATTCTCCTCCTTGAAAATCTTGGCCAAAGATCTTAACAGTTTGAGCTGATCAGTGGAACTTTGACGTAAAACAGACAATATGACAATTGACAAGTAGTGTAAATGGGATTACAACTGGAAGTGTGCTCAAGAAATTCTAATGTATATCCTCAATAAATATCGCCGGTCGGTCAGTTTTGTTTAAAATTCTGCAATTCTTGAACTCCAGTCATGAGATAAACAGGAGTAGTTCTTCATCTAGAGCGAAGAATAAGAAGAATTTTCATACTCAATGCTTCAACTCATGAAAGTAGGCAACTATGCAAGTTATGAGCAAATTTCTAAATAGAAACCAAACGGAATTCGCTCCACGAATGATGAAGGAAAAAAAAAGTACCTGCCGGAAGATACATCGTAGATTTGACCCTTTATAGCCATAAGAAGTGGCTTATTCGGATCGGAGCCATCGTAAGCCCTCAACTGCTGCTCCGTCAATCGCCCTACTTGGACTGATTGCGAGGCGTCGGCGACCGTATCGTTAACAAACAAATTCGAATTGGCCGAGTTAGACGAAGAAACAGGAACAGTTGGGGGTTTATTGAACTCTTCTGGAGAAACGAACATGGAGGAAACCATTTGAAACACGAAGATCATTGAGGCAAGTATGGTGAAGAAGGCGGTGGGCGATAATCCGGTGTACCAATTGATCTGTTCCATCGCTCTCCAGAAGATCTCCATTTCTTCGCTCTAGCTTTGCGACTGCGATTTTCTCCCCGAGGCAATAGATTCCGGTGGACTGGATTTGAAGATAAAAGTCCCAACTTCACCAACCATGAATCCTTACCTACTCCCTCCATGGTTGACAAGTCTTTTCTTTTTTCCTTTTAATTAATTTGTTTATAAAAAAGATTAAAAACCACCCATTTATTAGATATTATCAATTTTGTATCAATTGAGAATAAGATTTTTACGTATAATTAGCTAATACAATTTTTATATTTTTAATGAAGTAAATGCCATTTTAAATTTTTATTGTTTTTTTATCGGACTGTTTTTGAAATTACAAATTTGGAGTGAGACTACCATCCGATTTACATTATAGTCCGAAAGACATGACCTGATACATAAATTTTAATACGTAACAATATAGCGTATATGTTTTAAAATTTGATACTATTTCGCCTCAATTATATAATTAATGTTGAATTTTAATAAAATTTTCATATATGGATGGGTAAAATTATTAGGATTTAAATCATACTATAATAAATTAAACTATTACGGGCCAAAATGATTTTTTAATAATTTTAAATTTTTATTAAATATAATTTTGAATTTTAAAGTTTTAATTTATGTGATTTAAAAATATGATAATTTATAATTTCTGAAAATTTAAGATTTAGATGGGTAATTCAACTTAAAAATTAACATTTTGAAAGGAAAATAAAATAAGCTAAACCCTATAATTTAGAGAATTAGAAAAGAAAAAAAGAAAAGTTTTATTAGAGACTTTTATTTTCCATTCTTGGTCAACATTTTTTCTCGATATTTTGACGAACTCTCTGCAAACCAGTTTTTTCATCTTCCTCCACTTATCACCCTTCTTCTGAACCATCATTTGCTGGTGAATTAGGGAATCCTCTGTCCACTTCGAAAAACCCACAACTTTTCCCACTCCCTCTCGGTTTCAATTTCTTTATTCTCTGTTCATCCTAATCCCTATTGACAAGGAACACAAATACCAGGAAAAATCATCGGCAATCAGCAACCTTTTTTCTCCCTTCCTGTAATTCATCTCCCCGAGGTTCTATCGGGAAAGGCTATCGTCAAGAGTGGAGTTCTTGAATCAATATACGCCAGGTATTCGAAATTTCAAATGTTTTTTTTTTCTTTCTTTTGCTTTTATGGAAATCTAGATCCACCCTTTTCGTTAGCGGCGAGGAATTACTGATTGGGTGTGGAACCCTAATGTTGTTTTTCCATAAGTTCTCGAACTGGGCTTCGCGTAAATTGTTTATCGTGCTGAGAATGATAGTTATGCCTAGTTATATTAGGAAATAATGTTGAAGGTAGCTTTTTTGAAGTTTTGTTCTTGGTTACAATTCGCGTGCTCACTATTTTCAGAGCTTACATAGCTTCGATGAACTGCTAGTTTTTCTTGGAACTTTGCTGCAGGGTAATGTAATAATATTCTCGTCACGGGATGAACAACGAGGGTTTTGAAGCACAGGTGTTGTCTGAGAAGTTATCCAAACTCAACAATTCTCAGCAGAGCATCGAGTGTATCCTTCTCTAATCATTATCTTTTACTTTATTTTTGTGGCCTGAAAATATTGCATTGCCCGTTCTATTACACACCGGCGTTTACAGTTTTTGTTCAGATATTTTCTCCCTTTTATATATTGATTTTAAATTTTTTTGGTGTTCATAGTCATGGATGTCAAAAAAAAAAAAAAAAAAAAAAAAAAAAAAAAAAAAAAAAAAAAAAAAAAAAAAAAAAAAAAAAAGAAAGAAAGAAAGAAAGAAAGAGAAAAGAAAAGAAAAGAAGAAAAACAAAGTAATGCCTTTTGTCATTTACTAATTATGTATGTAAAGAACTGGGTATGGCGGCGATTCTCTATTAAAACTTTGAAGTTAGAATCTTTCTCTATATGTATTTTAAACTGTAAAAGACTTAATTGAATTTAATTTTGTGGATAGCCTCATGATTTTGTGGTTGAGATTTCTTCGATGTTGGCATGACTTCATTATTAAACTTGATTACCTATGCTTCTTATGGTTGAACATTTTCATTACTCGTCTGGGAACTTTGGATTGAGAGTAATTATTGCCTTTGTTCTTTTCATTTTTCTGGCAATAAATTCACTAGATTAGAAGACGTTTGGGATGTGTTAGTTCTTGTGTTTAGATTGAGCCCCTTTTGAAGTCTTTTTGTAATTTGTTTGTGTTGGTACATACTGATTAAAGAACGGTTCTTATACTGTTGACTCATGGAAGAATGTTTTGTGCTCAAATATATCCTCAAAAAAATTCTGATGGTGGGTGCAACTGTAATGAATTTGTTTTTCTTTGATATTGAATTAGCTTTATCAAGATGGTGCATTTCCCACCGGAAAAAGGCCAAGCAGATTGTTGAAACATGGGATAAATTATTCAACTCATCTCAGAAAGAGCAGCGTGTTTCATTTCTTTATTTGGCAAATGACATTTTGCAAAACAGCAGGCGCAAGGGAAGTGAATTTGTGAACGAATTCTGGAAAGTTCTTCCTGTTTCTCTCAAGTACGTTTATGATCATGGGGATGAAAGTGGAAAGAAGGCGGTAGCAAGACTTGTATGTCCTCTTTATTCTTGTGTATAAATATGATGGCAATAAATGTTTTTATGTTTTTTATTTGTGGAAGCATCTTAGTTGACTCTGGAACATATTGCTGAAATGTAAAACATTTTTCATTTGTGAAAAAAGAAATGAAGAAATGGTGAAGACGGAAAACAGAAAAGGGAGGATGGATTTCTTCATTTGGCCTGACAAATTTGTATCATAAACATTTATATTTAGGCTTCTCAAAGATTGAACTGCTTTATTAGTCACATTGGTAATAGAACTCTCAATTCTACTTATAGCAGTCTTTTGATTGGTGTTTCATGAGTACTGAGGTGGTCAATTGGTGCTAATTCCTAAAGCTTGTATATTAGTTAGGAATAATCTAGTAAATTCCTGATATGCGGGTTAAAACTTGAGTTTGAAGCATAATATGTGGTACCTTTTCTTCCCCCTTTTGTCCCCCCATTCCTAGACGTGAATGTAGGTTTCTTTATAAAATAATTTTTGTTTAAAATAGTTATAAGCATAATTAATTTTTTTTTTATATAAATAAAGGAATATAGGACCTGTTCGTGGGGGGTAGATAAATCCTTGATTTGATCTTATTGCAAATAAAGCTATTAATGAGAGAAGAAAGGAAACTGAGATCTAAAATTTGTCATCCAAAAAGCTTACTATTTAATGGGTACACCCCATATAGATTGATATAAAAGAAAGTAGTGTTTGAGTCTAACTGAAATAAATTCCTTAGTTTGGATGGATTCACAATGGTTTTTATTTTAAGAGAGTTGGGAGTGTGTTAAGGAGGATGATTGGAAGGTCTTTTAAGTTTTACAAGCGGGTGTCATTGATGTTCCTACTGATGAGGCCTATGTTTTCCTTGTACTGAGAAGACAAAAGAGAGTAGGGTTAAAGGACTCTAGGCCAATAAGTTTTTTTATAAGTTTAAATGAGATTATTGTTCCAACATTAGCAAATAGATTGAGAAATGTCTTCCCTAACACGATTTCAGACTCCCAAGGAGCTTTTGTAGTAGAGAGACAATATGGATCGGGTGTTGATTGTCAATGAGGCTTTTGAGGATCACAATCAAGAGGGTGTCATTCTTAAGATTGATTTTGGTTACGCATATGTTTATGTGAATTTGAGATTTCATAGTTTAAGATCTCTACATGGAAGGCTTTGTGTTTAAATGGAGGTTGTGGATTTGAAGATGTATTAGGATGGTGAATTTCTCTATCCTTATCAATAGTTAACTTGACAGTGGTTCAAGCCCCTACAGATCTTAAGCAAGGTGATCCCCCACTCCATTCCTCTTGATTTTGGTCACTGACATCTTGAGTAGGTTGGTTTGTCATGAGCGAAATTGGAGTGATCAATGTTTTTTAAATCATTCAAGGCGTAAAGGCTTGAGGTGAGACAATTTATCGTTTTGGGAGGCTATCTTGGGTTTGAAGATTAATAAAGGCAAGTGTCAAATTTTAAGTTTGAATTGTGACCCAATCAAGTTGCGTAGGTGGGTTGCTTTAAATGAGATTATTCCTCCAACATAAGCAAATAGATTGTGAAGGGTCTTCCCTTACACGATTTAAGACTCCCAAGGAGCTTTTGTAGCCGAGAGACAAAATTTGGACCAGGTGTTGATTGTCAATGAGGCTATTGAGCATTACAATCAAGAGGGTGTCATTCTTAAGATTAATTTTGGTTAAGCTTATGTTCATGTGGATTTGAGATTTCTTAGATAAAGATCTCTAGAAAGAAGTCTTTGTGTTTATATGTTGGTTGTGGATTTGAAGATGTATTAGTATGGTTAATTTCTCTATCATGTTTATGTTGATTTGAGATTTCTTAGATAAGGATCTCTAGAAGGAAGGCTTTGTGTTTAAATGGAGGTTGTGGATTTGAAGATGTATTTGGATGGTGAATTTCTCTATCCTTATCAATAGTTAACCTGACAGAGGTTGAAGCCCTTACAATCTTAAGCAAGGTGATCCCCCACTCCATTCCTCTTCATTTTGGTCATTGACATCTTGAGTAGGTTGGTTTGTCAAGACACTTCTTGAAACCCTTAGGAAGATATTTTTGTTGAGCTTCTTTACCTTTCTCAATTTGTTCATTGTTTGATAAGTGATGAGAAGGATACCTACTTTTGGGAGTATAAGTGGTTGGGGGATAGGTTCTTTTGCTCTTGTTTTCTAGTTTTTCAGTTATCCTCTCTGAGAAACCAATCGGTAGGCACTGTCCTTTCTCATCCTAAGTGCTTTCTTTTGCCTCTGTTGGGGTTTTATTGTTTGTTGTCTGACAGGGAAACAATATATGTTTGGCCTTTTATCTATGATGGGAGAGTTTTGATTTTTTTTTCCTGGGAAAATGGATGTTCGTCTTTGGAGTCCTAGTTAGTCCAAAGTTTTTTTCTTGTAGTTCCTTCTTTCCTTTTTTGGTAAGTCTCTCCTCTTCTAGCACTTCTTTCTTTTGTTGTCGTGGAAGGTGGGAACTTTCTAGAAGGTTAAATTCTTCGTGTGACCGGTCATGCACAAAAA